ATGATACAACAGCAGCAGCAACGTTGCCTCCTCGTCAGCTTACCTCTCGACAGCAGTTGCACCAATAATGCCATCGATACATACGTGTGTTGTAACGGGGTAGCCCGTTACATGAAAATACCATGATCTGAAATCGTAACAAAGAATACTATGCTGAATATTCTTACAACAACATCACTAAATACAGTGATATTGTTGAGATGACCCAAAGGTCTACTCATTGGTTGATATTGTGATTATATTAACCCACCAATCGCTGCTACACGTGCGCAATGGGTGGTGAGCAGATTTCATCATACGTTAATTACATTAGTATAACTTCTGATAGCGATTGCACCTCTGCAATCGCTTGTTGTTTGTAGAGCGAGGTCTCTCGCTCTCAACATAGCAGAGGTCCATTGGTTCTGGACCTCCGATCTCTTGTCGTCTCGGTGGACGGTAAGAGTTAGAGCTAGCATGAGCCTGTCTCATGCTAAAGTCTTCCTGTTCCGCGGCTGATATCGCTTCTTCAAGCGTATTCAGCTCTAGGCGGAACAGGTGGCTCCTGACGGGCCCTTCTGCGAGCCCTTGCATGAACACCGTAATCAACGTGTGTTCATGAACTGGGTTGGCAGTTATACTACTCGCAAGGAGTCGTATATGTTGTGCGTAAGCGTGCACATCACGCTTACCCTGCTTGAGTTTCAGGAGCTCTGAACGAGCCCTGAACTCAGCACGTGGCGGCTCAAACGTTTGTCTGAGCCGGGACTTGAAGTCATCTAGCGACCTAAACACGTTTGGGTCGCTACTCTCGAGTCCCAGGGACCAGGTTTTGGCACGTACTGCCAAGTGGGTTTGAGCAAATGTAAGTATCATTTGCTCATCCTCGACGCGACGAGCCCTTAGGGCTCTGTCGAGTTCGACAAACCATAGTAAGAGGGTGTCTTCCGGGACTCCACTGTACTTGGAGATGTCAACTTTCATGACTTCGGGACTACGCGCATGCGCCGTCCCGCCCACAGCAGCATGGAATTGCTGCTGTCTCAACAGCTCTGTCTGTTGAGCACCGAGTTCTCTCAACTGCTCGGCCTGTTGCGAGCCTTGCTGGTGATGCAAGGCTACTTTCTCCCTCTCGATGGCAACTTCATTTTGAATGAACTTGGATATGGCGGCATGTTGTTGGTCTCTGTCTAGAGACTCCAACATGGCGCTAATGGCAAACTCGCCTACGGTAAAACTCATTCGTTCTACCGCACCCCATTCGATGTCACTCAAATGGGTAAACCCTTCACGCGTGGCGTGAAAGGTGTCTTCTTCATCCAACATGAACATGTTGGATGATGTGGTCCTTGGAAGGACTACAAAGTGCTACCAGGTGTAACGGGGCACACCCTTGCGTAACTTAACGCAAGGGATTTGGGTGCACCGACGGACGTACACGTGGCAAGCGAGGAAGCGTAGGTAGGGTAAAAGTAGAACTGTTATATTAATAAATTAAGTCTTTAAACTACTGTCTCTTCGTTTGACTTAGTTTAACTATACTAATATAACTGGATGTATGGTGACGTCTCGTCACCACTCATTGCGCGCGTCTTGCGGCGATTGGTGGGTTGATATCATCACGATATCAACCAATGAACAGACGCTTTGGTCGAACCTTCAATATCACCACTTTGGTGATATTGTTTTGAAGAATATCCATCTTTATATTCTTTATTGTCACTTTCCTTAAAGTGACAATTTCATGTAACGGGCTGCCCCGTTACATAGCCAGTGTGTCATCTGCAGTAGTAATGCGCCCCGAGGCCTTGGCCCTCTTCACGGCTCGCAGCAAAAGCTTCCTACCGCGTTCCTCGTTCAATTTGTCGTGATGTGCCAACAAAATTCTCTCGGCCTCACAACAAATAAGAACACAGAGCGCTCGATTCTCCCGGTTGAGTGTGATGTAGGCTACAAAACGCACGAAGGGACATGCAACATTCTCGACAACTTTATTTCCAACATTTCGCTGCTGGATGATTCAAGGAGGAGGAGAAGACGCCATTTTGACGATATCTTTTTTGGGCTTTTAATTGACGTGCTGAGCACCTGCCAGTGTCTTTAGATCTAGCCAGTCCGACATCATATCGTACAGCTCATTCGTTTTTGCTTGTGGAGCTGTTATCTCTGTGATCATTCTAACTGGACTAGATACGAACAAGTGTTTTTAAGATCTGGTGCACTGTTTGTGACTACTGATACAGTGCGCTCCCTACAACATGGTTTCGCTTGTCTGCATGGCGTCGCTCATCTCCGAAGTCCTTTATTTTTACAACACAATTGTCACTCATTTTTCTTCATCCTTTACCTTCGGTTTGTCGTTCGCTTGAGAACCTGCACTTTGTAAACAAACCTAGAAGGATCCATCCATGTAGCTCGGGTGCTTCGCCAATATGGGCTCTTGCGAAGGATACTAACAACCCGACCGGGTACTGTGAAACACACTATTTGGTGAACTTCGTCGCGATCAAATTGAAGAGAAGTTTCTCGTGTCATGACTGCAACTTAGAGGAGGTGGTTTCTCCACCGTCTCGAGACGGTGGAAACGTTTGACTGAGTTGTGGAGACATCACATGAGTAAAACAAGACTGACGTCCAGTTACCACTGGAAACGCTCTTTCTACCCGTGGTACCTGTGGAGAGCGCACGAGGCATCGCAAGTGCTTGTGGCCCCCGCAGTAGCGATAAAAACCGTGCTCGTCCGAGTGTGGTGCGTTGTAGATCCTTTTCCAGCACAGGCGCTCAGTTCTTCTTCCGATCAATACAATCATATGTCTCCTGCATCAGAACTGTTTCGCACTGCTTCGGCTTTGGTCCTTTTCGCCATCATCACGCTTTCTTTGTTCGCCATCGCGGCTTCACTCCAAGTTGCTGCATGGGTATCGTCCTCGAACTATTGGCTTACAGTGCAACCTCGCCAGACCTTAACATAAACGCAAAACGAGTCATCATAGACCACAGTACCCGCAACAGCTTAGCATAAGCGTGCACATGCACAAATCTCCATCCGCTATGCGTTTATTCTCCGCAAGCATCTTTGTCGTGGCAGCACTGACCAGTCCTATGTTCAGTCAGTATTTAGTGTCGACATGCATATTTCACACAGCAACCTTCACCTTAGCTACGAACACAGCTTCTACAACTCATGCGCGCACTCGATTGTATTACTGTAAGTGCGCTCACGCTTCAGTACGTTGTTTGAACAGGTGTGCGCACAAGTGCATCCTATTGTCAAAAGTCGAGCTTCAGCTCCATATCGCCGAAGTCTACGATGGCTTTTATGACAACCAACCTTTTGATCACACTAATACCGTTTACTTGTCCGGGTGTCCGACGTTGCAGCAGGACACCTGGACAAGATGAAAAGGTACCGTCGATTCTTTTCGGCAAGGTTAGCAACCATCAGCGATCGACATTCAGTACCACGCCCATCTTCGTCCTCGGACGAGCTCGACTCCAACACCACAGAGACCCCAGAGCTCGATAATCAGCAATTACACCAGCTCTGCACTGACGCACTCACTCCTACCATTTTTGATATCGTTTGTTCATGAGATCTATATCTTGTCCTGCAATATGGCCCCCACGCCATGCGTGTACAATGTACTGGCGTGCACTATCATGATAGCAAGCAACAACCACTGGACCTGTTCCGGCGTCTGCCAGCAATTAGTCAACTTTCCATTTGCTGAGACTGCCGTCGAAAGCACTTCAGCTACACGAATGCTCGATTGGACAAGCCCATTCTGCAGATCATGCGCATCGCTTGCAATCTTTAACAGGTCAACCATCAACGCAATATTCGGATCCAGCGAGCGTCTAGCTTCGTGCATACTCTTCCGAGAAAGTTTGATCTTCTCAGACCTGAGATCCCACCAGCTATTCACTCACGGATGGGTGTCGCTTTGTATGTTCTGTTGCAGCAGCTATTGCGCTTGTTTTTTCGTCGCACAACGAGCTATCATCACGTAAACATCCTATGATTTAGCAACGCTAAGACGTTCGCTCGCAGTCCTCAAGTGTCTGTTCAATAGCTCGAGCATGTTGATCAACGAGTTGCCATGTGCGTACTTTAACATGTTCCAGAGCGGCCGTTTGCATGTTGACAACGTCTTCAAGCGCTTCAAAATTGGTACGCGCAATGAGGGTATTCCCAACCTATGCTAGTATAGCCCGTTATTCTCGAATGTACCGCTTGTTGCAGACACGGGACGATTTCACGTGCCATAAGCCTTCTTCATCGATCGAAATGGCCTTCCGACGTGTTGCTAGGAAGCAAGAAAATGTTCGCTGGACAAGTTTGCATCGATCCAAGTCGGCTCATATACGGGTCGGTCTACACTTTCTTCTTGATGTTGCACCACGTGAAAAAGCCGTCAATGAACAAACTCGCAATCGCTCGAACAGCTGCTCATCGACTGGCAGTTTATCATGACAACCGAGCACGTCTATTCCATCTACCGACTCATGGCACCTGTCAAGTCCAAAAGCGCTGGATCCACTTTTTCGCCAGTCTTTTATCAATCCTACTCATACGGACACATGTAACTTGCCGCGATCATTCTACGAACGCTGGTGTGTTCACGCCACGCGCCATCTTGCTCAATATCATGTCGCTCACAGCAACGCTAGCCAAATGCATGTTTGTTCCGCCACGTCTGTATTTGACGTATACGCTTTTCTACAAGAAATAGTGCCTAGCAGTAGGCTCAGACACTTTTTTACCCTGTTGGCTGCACGTTGATCAAGTCGAAGCAGGAGACGACAGAGGGATACGACACAGGGCATCTTCACCAGCAATGACACCCACCAAGTACAACAGCCTGCAAGCACGACAACCACCAAGCACAACAGCCAACAAACACGATAACAAACAAGCAAGACGGAAAAGAAGCACAATAGTCAGCAAATAAGCACAACAGTTGATGCTCTTCGTGACATAGCTTCTCAAAGCGTCCAAGTTGCTGTTGCTGATCCGTAGAACTCCGTCGGCCCTTGAACTTGTTATTGCCACTTGTCCCACTGTTTCCATTGTCGCGTTGCTGCATGTGGAGGGGAAAGGGATCTACGCACGTAGCCTTTGTTGTGATCTTCTGGTGCTTTAGAGACCGCACTATTGATGGAATAAGCTCTATCTGCTAGCTGCATTGACGTTGATGTTCAAGCTGATAAAGTCTGTTGTCTCTCAAAGAGACTAAAATAAGTCAAGAGGACCTTATTGTCGAGCACGTTGCAAGCTTAAAACTACTGATTCTCGCGGTGGCCAAGATGTCTACCCACAAATGAGTTGAGGACATAAGCTTTCGATTCGGAAAGGCACAGGGATGACCAAGACTACAAGGCACTTCCAGCATGACCGCACGTGCGTTTCGCACATCGAGAAAGATGTTTGATCGATGAGAGTATGCTGAATGTAAGCTGTTTGCTGCGGCAGAACGAAGACCCAATGGTTGGTTGTGCAAATACGTATAGATGAAGTTTGCAGTGGGCCTTGAGAAAACAAACGCATCACGTAGATAGTAGACATGTATGTCGCAAGATGACCGCACAGACGGCGCGTGTGCACCAAGACACCGCTGCTTTGCTATAATACGAGTATTTACGCTTCTACTCTACTGGCGGTAGGATCAGGCGATGGAAAAGTGCAGTCAATGTATTTACTTTTTATTCTAGCTGTATTCCAACAACCCCTGTACGCACGTCGCGGCACTTGATGACCAGCGGGTGAGTGAACAAGTGTCCCTTATTCAGCACGACGGAGCCGGTTGGTTGGTAAGTTCTCGATCTCGGCCAAATATTTAGCCACTCCAGCGCTGTCGCCCATGGAATAGAGGGAAGTTAACTTCTTCATAAAAGCAGGACTGCCTTGACTTTCAGCATATTCCAAGGAAAAGGCTTTGTGGGCGCGGGAGAGAGGATGAGCAATCGGTAAACCGGCGATTGTACCACCATCGGGAAGAAGGAGACGCTCAAATGCACTTGGAACCATAGGTGGTTTCTTGGAAAGAAAATACTTGAAGCGAAGTGTCTGGATCTCTTGAATACGGGATTTGTAAAAAGGTGCAGCCATCAGCTTGGCAAAGACACCTGCAAGTGACGCTTCGGTTTCGCCAGATTTTGACAGAAGTAACACCACATCCTCGTTTGAAATTTTTTCTTCAGAACGCCTCGTGCTGTCGAGGTCATGACGCACCACGTAGCCCAACCACTTGATTGCCAAATCATCTTCCTTCTTAAGCATGTCGAACGCTTTTTTTGGGCCCACTTTTTTCGATGACAGCATCGCGTTAACCTCAGAGTCCCACGGCGGGCCTGTAGTCGACACGTAAGGCGGACTCATGGGGTCTTCGATCGGCTTGATAGGCTGTTCGTGAGGACGACGAGAGCGAAATTTGTCCAGTAGCCTTTGGAACCCTCTCTTCAGCGGTCCAAATAGGCTGTCAAGCACAGGGCCTCTCTCCTCCTTGCTCCGGTCGTTCAGCGCACGTTTGTAGACAGCTGCATCATCGGTCTTCGACACTTCCCCCGCCGTGGGCGCAGACGTTTCGGGACGATGGGCGTCGCTCGAGTCGAGGGCGGCAGCATGAGTCAGGACGCCGTTCACAACGAAGAAGACCAAGTAGAGCAGGCCGTGAATACGCATACTGACGTTCTGCGCTTGACGAGAGATTTTGCAGAATGAAGAACGAGGCCAACTGCCTCATTGACGAGCGCACGTGGACCCTTTCTCATCGGCTTTGCAAGGACTGACCCCGACGCCACGACAATGAGCCTAAGAACAGTACACTACCGAGGACAAGGGTTGAGTCGGACGACGTTGATCCACGAAAGACGACCGGCTCTCTCGTTTGGAAACAGTTTTTCGGCACGCCACGTCGCGGTAGAAAACACACAGGGACCGGAGCAGGCACTGCACTGCACCATCGAGCCACGACCCGCCTACCCCAAGAGTTGTCAGTCGTGTCTCTCTTGACCGGTCGTCCTTAAAAGACCCTCCTTGGCCGAACCCTCGTCGTAGTGCACCTTGTGCGCATTCGTCAGTTCCCACCCTCCGCGGCCATGGGGCACTACCGGTCACGCGACAAGTCCGGCGTCAAGACTCAGGAGGAAGGAAGAGCGGGACAAACAGGGCTCCAAGCGCATAAAAGCTTCTACGTAGAAAAGTGGAGCGATTGGCATTAGAGATTGTGCTTTTACAGCTGCACACTCGGACCAAGCACAGGGAAGGGAGGGGGGGGGGCTCTGAAAAGGTCGAAAAGAGCTGCTCCTCGAAAAGGCGCGCGCACGACCATCACATTGTGTGTTGCTTCCCTCGCTCAAGCACGAACACAGCGGCCACTTTTGCGTGCTTGCCGCAAAAATTGATCGCAAGATGCGAGGCTCGCGTACTCGTTCTGCCCTTGTCCTATTAATTGGTAGCCTCTTTGACAATCGCAATGCACAATCGCACAACAGCTCACGTGAGCAGTTGTAGTCAAGTTGTTGAAGGCGGTCGTTGAACCCGTAGACACGACCGAGCAACAATTTTACTCTTGTGCTTGTGTGTGTGTGGAAGCTACGAGCAAGCTGTACGACTTTGCTGGACCGATCGGACCACTCATTCCCGCGGTCCATGGCGATCGACACGCTGGTGAGGAGCTTAGTGGACGGCTTCAAGACGGTTTAAACTTTGGGCAGCAGGCCGACTAATCGCGAGAGAAGATGGTGGCCTTGTGTCGTGGTAAAAGTGACTAGAGCACTAAAGTGGGTCTCGCAATATTCCGAAAACTTAGAAACGTCAGCTTGCAATTATGGCGTCGTCTGCGAGACCGAAAGTGATTTGGTGTCACTAAAATCGGGCCGAGCTCTTGGTGCACGAGTTTTGCCGAGTTGATGTCGACGTGTGTTCGTTTCGATTCCAGAATCACGACTTCAGTGGCCTGTGTTCGATCGAGGACACCTCGCAGGCGCGGCACTATCTACAAACGTCCTTCTTTCGCTCCGGCGCACTATTATATCTATCTGTGGCGCTGTAAAAGCAACTCCACCACCATACCACGTGGCGTTCGATACCCCACTAAACAGCTAAAGCGATGTGAAGACTTGCTGGATTCAAATTGCTACAGTATTCCGTCAGGCACGGACGAACTAGACCGTAGCTGCTCACGCTCTCGTGATCGCGCGACTTGGCTCTAGTGAACAAGACGTACGTCCATGTCTCGACGTTGATGCACAGTACTTTGCTAACGAAATTGACGCACAGCGATCGACGGGTCGATCTACAAGGCAGACAGCTTCCTTGGCATTATCGGCACAAGGTCCAACATCTTGGTATAGCATGATAACCCGTTTCTTTCCAGACTGTACTCGTGTTTCGTCTACTGCTTATTTCCGAGTAGACGCTAGCCTTCATCAGCCAGTGATGAACGATATCAGGCGCACACCTACCGTGGTCGTTTCAGAAGCTTAAGATTAAAGGGCTACAAACTGCATTTCCTGATCGCTGCTTCCTTGTTGCAACACTTTGGCAGCTTTAACGGCGCCCTTCTGCTACGACAAAAGAGTCTAAAGACCTAGCAGTATCCACATTCATGACGTGGTACGACAACGACCACTCTAGAGCCGCATCCTGCGTACAAGGAACCAGCTGCATGCGCCCGAGCACACGAAATGCGTTGACCTTAACCAGTTCGACGTCCAATATATCTGCATAATCCGCTTCGCTCGATTTGACATCGTAATGACATGAGAAAGCGCTGGTCCCTGGTAGTCGACAACAATATGACGCTATAATTGACAAGCCCAGTAAAAGACGGGTCTCTCTGTCTTCAGCATCACGGTGTACAAAACTCCTCCTGCTGCTCCTACCGTCGGTCCCCTCAATAAAAAGGTCCCACAAATAACTGCGTTTCTTGCACCGTTCCGGATTGGCTTAAATTGGGCCCTTCATCGAGACCGCCGTTGGGTGGCTGGCAGCGTCTCGTCAGACGTGTCCATTCATTTGCCCACGAGTTGAGCTCTTCGAGTCTCAATTGCCGACTCGCGCGCAACCTCTCTGATCTCGCTCTGCATCACCAACAACAACAAACGCGCCTTCTATCAACAATGTCTGGACGTGGATTCGGTGGTCGTGGCGGCGAGTCGTGGCGGCGGCCGAGGAGGAGGTCGTGGCTTTAGTGGATGTCGTGGTGGCGGCGGCCGCGGAGGGGGTCGTGGAGCGGGTCGCGGGTTTGGCGGCGGTCGTGGCGGTGGCCGTGGAGGCGGTCGTGGTGCTGGCGGTGATCGCGGCGGCCGCGGAGGTCGTGGCGGTGGTCGCGGTGGAGGTCGCGGTGGAATGGCAGGCGGTGCGAAAGTGGTCGTGGAACCTCATCGTCATGCCGGTATCTTTATCGCCCGAGGCAAAGAAGACGCTTTGGTGACACTGAACTCGACGCCGGGCAAGTCTGTATATGGTGAGAAGCGCATCTCGGTGGATGTTCCTTCGGCTTCAGGCGAAGGCACTGAGAAGGTCGAGTATCGTGTGTGGAACCCGTTCCGCTCAAAGGTTGCAGCAGCTATCTTAGGTGGTGTCGACAACATCTGGATCGTCCCTGGCGCCAAAGTGCTGTACCTCGGTGGTGCTTCCGGCACGACTGTGTCCCACGTCTCTGACATTGTCGGACCTTCCGGTGCTGTGTACGCTGTCGAGTTTTCGCACCGTGTTGGCCGTGACCTAATCAACATGGCCAAGTCCCGCACTAATGTCGTGCCGATTATTGAAGACGCTCGTCATCCACTGAAGTACCGAATGCTCGTGCCCATGGTGGATGTGATTTTCGCTGACGTTGCCCAGCCGGACCAAGCGCGTATCGTTGCCATCAATGCATCGCACTTTCTGAAGAACGGAGGCCACTTTGTGATCTCGATCAAGGCTAGCTGCATTGACTCGACGGCCCCTCCTGAAGCTGTGTTTGCCCGTGAGGTCAAGAAGCTCCAGCAAGAGCAATTCAAGCCAGCGGAGCAGCTCACTCTGGAGCCGTACGAGCGGGACCACGCTGTGGTTGTAGGCTCTTACCGCGTGCCGAAGAAAGAGAAGAAGTAGATGTACAGTGGAGCTAGCCACATGATTTACACTGTCTAACTCTATAACTTGTTTGGTTCATGCTGTGTCTTGTAGGTCTCCGCCCAAACCGTAAAGTCATCCTCTTGCATTGGATACCGTCTTCGTTCGAGTATCACAGCTGCGCTCTTCCTCTGTAAAGGATGCTGTTGACCCGCCATATTATGTGAGAAGACTGCGTGTTGATTGTGTACATGTGAGTGGGGCGGTTCCGTAGAGGCTACCGACCACCTGGTAGTAGTCTCTTGCTTTCTCGGTGATTAGAAGTATTGCGTCGGGCGGACTGAACAAAACGACGTTCGCTGTCGTTCATACCCACTGGAAAGTGGGATGAGACGATGGTAGCGTCCACCGTGATCGAAAGACGTCATGAAGCCTCCAAGTGGGGTCGATGAGAGAAAGAAGGACAAAATGTGCATTCGAGCAGCTATGTTTATGTATTGTAGTATCGGATACAGTTCCGTGGGCTGTACAGTAAGTATTACCGGATACGTTTCGTTGGTGAACAGTAGTGTCGCTGCAAAGGAGGAAGAGGGCAGCACGAAGAGGCTGGCCGACACGTGAGGGCGGAGATTGACGTGTTTTCTTCTGTGCTCTCTGTTCATCTTGAGATAGAGATGTGTGCTTGTGTGTGTGGTCTACTAAGCTTAACATTCCGTCGGAATACACTCAGTACCTTTCTTGTTGGCACGTGGAAGTGGTCTCGTTCAGTCTCGTACACGTGAGTGATTTTACTCGCGTTGCGATAGAAGTATAATGTTTTCTGGGCTGTTTGCAGTGCGTCAAGTCATGAAGCAGTGACATGCACACCCCATCGACGGATCCGATCGCTTTGGGCGGTCGAAACGTCTAACGACAGGCACAACGCAGAATGCTGGACAAGACGGTGTGCTTCACTTCAGTCACGTCAACGGGTACGGTACACTTGTGCAAACCGAACAAACTATCGGTTGTGAAAGGACGCGCCCACTTAGTGACTTGGTCGCTGATGCGTGCTGCATCGCTGTCAATGGACCGCTTATGCGGCAGCAACAATGACAGCTGCGATCGAAGACTGCCTCTTGATGTCGTATTGAGCAGGTCCGCGAACGTGACTGTCTATGGGGGAGAAGGGTTCTGGTTGCCTGCACCGACTCGACGCAGCGGGGAACGTCTCTGCTACTATTGCTGCTGCTACTACTACATCAGGGGCAAGCCATCCAGTAAGGGCTAAACGCCGTTTGTCTTCTGATCGTCACGGGCGAAAGATGTGCGGTTTGTGACGCAGAGCGGGACGCTGCAAGTCACTCGACACGAGTTCCTACAAACCGGTCGGGTTGGTCCATACCGTTTGGCTGGTCATGTGCCAACATCGCAGCCATCGAAGTCATGGGACGACTTCGTAGACAAAGCTGCTGTCAACGCGACCCGCTCGAATCGTCGAGCGAATGAGGACCCGTGAGAGAAACTTTGGCGTACTCGAACGTAGTAGGCATTCGATCGCTTCAATGCCGCGAGGGCTCATTCGACCCCTACCTCTCCAGTATCGAGCCGCGTGACAGTGATGCACGATCTCTCGATGGTCAGACGCAGGTCTAGTTTATCCGATGGACGAGTCTCAACAAGAAGGGAGAGGTACGACAAAGAGTCTAAGAGTGTGTATGTGAGGGTTGGCTGTCTTATGTGGTCGTGAGGCAATGTATGTCTTGCGCGTGCATGTATGTATCGCGTGTAAGAGGGTCGTGTGAGAAAGTATTGTACGAAGGTATGCATTGATAGAGGTGAGAAGGAGATGTCCGCGTGTCGGCTACAAGCTTACGTATGACTTTGTGGGAATGTGGTCGATGGGTGAGTGGTGTGTGTGTATATGGTGTTAGTTGTTGGAGGGTGTGGTTGTGTTCGTTGATCCGAGAGACGGTTAGCATCTCCCTCGACAAGGACGGGATTGCACGCAAGTGCACATTTACACACAGAAGACACACATACACATGTGTGCAATGTGAAACGTTTGAGCTCTGTCCTCCACGTGAAGACATCTACCAACCAACTTTTTCGCCATTGCCGCATGCCGACCAAGCGATCCATCGCATCGATCGGTGGATGCTCCAGCAGCAGCAGCAGTAGTGGCAGCAGTAGTGGCAGCAGTAAGAGGAGGAAGAGCAAGAAAAGACGGTCAGACGGGATCGACACTGCCTGGTTCGCAGGTACCGATGTACACTCTGCCTCCTCGTCGCATTCCGTCGACGACTCGAGTCGCAAACCCACTGGGACTGCAGTCGCCTGTACAGCTACTGCCACTGCCACTGCCACTGCAATGTCGGACTCGACGCGCGTCGCAGTGCTCGTGCCCTTTCGCGACACTCATCCGACGCAACAGCGACGCACTCACTTGGACGCGTTTGTGCCGTACATGACGGACTTCTTACGCCGCCACTGTGCTGCAACGAGGTAGAAAGCTCGCGAGGGTCTACCAAGTGAATACGATGCGTTGGCTGGGAAGGAGCTGCTGCTCGTCCTGCCAGTCCACCGAAAGCTCTGGTGCTGTATGACCGACCGCCTGGTTCTCTTTTGCTCATTTGCTTTCTCTCTCTCGCTCTCTCTTTCTCGTCTCTCTCGTCTCTGTGTAGTGCCTCGTTCCACCTCTTTATCCTCGAGCAGTCGATGGACGGCCGCAAGTTCAATCGGGGCAAGTTGCTCAACGCAGGCTTCGACATGGCGTGCACTGACTACGACGTGTACATTTTCCACGACGTCGACTTGCTGCCCGCAGTACGTGGTCAACACAGTCGAGCGGCGCTTGTGAATGGCCGAAGCGTCTGTTTCTGACAGTACGTCCGATTGCATGTATGTGTATGTGTGTGGGTGGCTTTGTTGTTTGTTCGCTTTGGACTGCGTAGGACAGCTTGAACGCGTGGTACACGACTGTGCCGCATCATGGCCCCGTGCACATTGCGCGCGTGTGGGACCGCTATCGCGGAAGCCCAACTTACTTTGGCGGTATCGTCGCGTTCACGCGGGAGCAGTTCACGCAAGTGAATGGGTATCCCAATACGTTTTGGGGATGGGGCGGCGAAGACGACGAGCTCTATTGTCGCGTCGTGCACAAACACCTCACTGTCCAAGCGCCGACGAGGTCCGCCAGTCTCGATGTTGATGCACTGTTACGACTTGTCTGGGACCCACTCACTCACCCACTCACTCACTCATTCACTAAACTTTCGCTCACTCTCATCTCATTTCTCTCACTGGTTTGACGGATGTATCGCAGTGGTGCCGTTCGAGATCTGGAAGAGATGAACCTCAACGAGAAGCTCGCGGTGCTTCGTGCAAACAAGTGGAAGTGCACAGTAAAGCGCGAGTTGCTCAAGGAGCACCGTCGGACGTGGCAGAAGAACGGACTGAAGGGTCTGCATTACGAGTACGTCGATGCGGAAGCTCTGAACGAGCATTGCACCAAGATCACCGTCCACCTCGGTCCGAACGGCCATTGGTCGGACTCGAGGTCGTCATTGGAGACCTCACCGGCGATGGCTTCTTGTCCAGCTTCGACTTCAGCTGTGGTTCCACGACGCTCACCTACAGACGTTGGAAACGACGAGACAACCGCTACGGTCGACACGACCGGAACTGCGTCAACGCACGTTCCATAACAAGTTGTCAAGGCATTGGTTTGCCATGAGAACAGCCATCCTCTTGCATTGGATACCTTCTTCATTCGAGTATCACAGCTGCGCTCTTCCTCTGTAAAGGATGCTGTTGGCACGCCAGGATTGTGTGAGAAGACTGCGTGTTGATTGTGTACATGTGAGTGGGGCGGTTCCGTAGAGGCTACCGACCACCTGGTAGTAGTCTCTTGCTTTCTCGATGATTAGAAGTATTGCGTCGGGCGGACTGAACAAAACGACGTTCGCTGTCGTTCATACCCACTGGAAAGTGGGATGAGACGATGGTAGCGTCCACCGTGATCGAAAGACGTCATGAAGCCTCCAAGTGGGGTCGATGAGAGAAAGAAGGACAAAATGTGCATTCGAGCAGCTATGTTTATGTATTGTAGTATCGGATACGGTTCCGTGGGCTGTACAGTAAGTAGTACCGGATACGTTTCGTTGGTGTACAGTAGTGTCGCTGCAAAGGAGGAAGAGGGCAGCACGAAGAGGCTGGCCGACACGTGAGGGCGGAGATTGACGTGTTTTCTTCTGTGCTCTCTGGTTCATCTTGAGATAGAGGTGTGTGTTTGTGTGTGTGGTCTACTAAGCTTAACATTCCGTCGGAATACACTCAGTACCTTTCTTGTTGGCACGTGGAAGTGGTCTCGTTCAGTCTCGTACACGTGAGTGATTTTACTCGCGTTGCGATAGAAGCAAAAGGTTTTCTGGGCTGTTTGTAGTGCGTCAAGTCATGAAGCAGTGACATGCACACCCCATCGACGGATCCGATCGCTTCGGGCGGTCGAAACGTCGAACGACAGGCACAACGCAGAATGCTGAACAAGACGGTGTGCTTCACTTCAGTCACGTCAACGGGTATGGTACACTTGTGCAAACCGAACAAACGATCGGTTGTGAAAGGACGCGCCCACTTAGTGACTTGGTCGCTGATGCGTGCTGCATCGCTGTCAATGGACCGCTTATGCGGCAGCAACAATGACAGCTGCGATCGAAGACTGCCTCTTGATGTCGTATTGAGCAGGTCCGCGAACGTGACTGTCTATGGGGGAGAAGGGTTCTGGTTGCCTGCACCGACTCGACGCAGCGGGGAACGTCTCTGCTACTATTGCTGCTGCTACTACTACATCAGGGGCAAGCCATCCAGTACGGGCTAAACGCCGTTCGTCTTCTGATCGTCACGGGCGAAAGATGTGCGGTTTGTGACGCAGAGCGGGACGCTGCAAGTCACTCGACACGAGTTCCTACAAACCGGTCGGGTTGGTCCATACCGTTTGGCTGGTCATGTGCCAACATCGCAGCCATCGAAGTCATGGGACGACTTCGTAGACAAAGCTGCTGTCAACGCGACCCGCTCGAATCGTCGAGCGAATGAGGACCCGTGAGAGAAACTTTGGCGTACTCGAACGTAGTAGGCATTCGATCGCTTCAATGCCGCGAGGGCTCATTCGACCCCTACCTCTCCAGTATCGAGCCGCGTGACAGTGATGCACGATCTCTCGATGGTCAGACGCAGGTCTAGTTTATCCGATGGACGAGTCTCAACAAGAAGGGAGAGGTACGACAAAGAGTCTAAGAGTGTGTATGTGAGGGTTGGCTGTCTTATGTGGTCGTGAGGCAATGTATGTCTTGCGCGTACATGTATGTATCGCGTGTAAGAGGGTCGTGTGAGAAAGTATTGTACGAAGGTATGCATTGATAGAGGTGAGAAGGAGATGTCCGCGTGTCGGCTACAAGCTTACGTATGACTTTGTGGGAAT